AATTTCCAAGAATATACTATGAAAATTACAAAGAAATTTAACTGTAGAAAGTTCGACAGTTTTCCTACATAGCTCTTAAGCTGGATACTTTTTATGAATCATGTTTAAACTGATATACTCATAAACAAAGAAGAGGAATTAAATTAGAGGAATCCCCCAGGGGCACTTGTGTGGCTCAGTCGGTCAAGTGGCCGACTCTTGACTTCAGCTCAGGTCATGATGTCATGGTTCATGGGATGGAACCCCATGTCGGGCTCTGCTGACAGTGCAGAGCCTGCTTGGAATTCTTTCTCTCTCTCTGTCTCTGTCTCTCTCTCTCGCTCGCTCGCTTTATCTCTTTCCCTCTCTCTCTCCAACACTCCCCTACTCACTCACTCTTTCTCTCTCTCTCTCTCTCAAAATAAATAAATAAACATTTAAAAAAAATTAGAATTCACCCAAATAAGAGTCGGATCTAGAGAATGGTGGAATGGAGGGACACCTGGGTGGTTCAGTCAGTTAAGCATCAGACTTCAGCTCAGGTCATGATCTCATGTTTGTGAGTTCGAGCCCCACATTTGGCTCTGTGCTAACAGCTCAGAGCCTGGAGCCTGCTTCAGATTCTGTCTCCCTCTCTCTGCCCCTCCCCAGCTCACACCGTCTCTCTCTCTCTCTCTCTCCCTCTCTCTCAAAAATACATAAACATTAAAAAAAATTAAAACTATAGAGAATGGTGGAATGGAAATCTGGCCACATACTCAATGGCTACCATCTTTGTTGAACATAAGAAGTAATGGATAACACGGATATATTAAAATAAATACACAGATTTTTACATTTCTGCATGTCTTATCATCATTGCCTTAATTTTTTTGTATTCTGAGATATAACTGATATAATCCAACTCATTAAACATTATAAATAAAAGTAGAATAATGTTTATTTTTCAAAAGATTTGAGATAGTTACACATTGGCTAAAAGCTTAGTCTCATTCCAAATGCAATTACTTCTGCAAGTTTTGAGCTAAATTAGTGCAAATGGTTGTCTGATGGAGGCCCTTAGAAAACAAAAGCATTTTACTTATAACTAGAGTATACAAAAATACCTAGTATTTCTACAATATATTCAAATAGATGGGGGAGCATTTAAATTTTTCATCGAAATTTCTAAGCATGCTTAAAAATACATCTTGATTAATTAATTTTTATTATTTATACCACAATATGGTATCGTTGTTGTTTGTTTCTGGTTTTGGCAATGAACACAAAAGCCTGATGGTATTTGCCATCCCTTACTGAATTCATCCAGGGTCCTAGCGTGGGAAGAACTTGGTATACAGACACTGATCAGCTCTGCTGAGATCTATCAGCATCAGAGCTCCCATTTATAAGTATAAAGTAAGAACTCTTAGGGGCACCTGGGTGGCTGACTTCAGCTCAGGTCATGATCTCACGGTTCGTGAGTTCGAGTTCTGCATCAGGCTCTGTGCTGACAGCTCACAGCCTGGAGCCTGCTTCCGATTCTGTGCCTCCCTCTCTCTCTGCCCTTCCCCCTACTCACGCTCTGTCCCTCTCTATCAAAAAATGAATAAACGTTAAAAAAAAATTTTTTTAAAAGAACACTTAAAACCTGAGCTCATCAAAAATAGAGATTCCATGATGGAAATGACCAAGAAAACAGGAAAGGAGAAAGTTGGTGCAGCACTCAGATTGTCTCTCAAACAACCAAAGTCAATTTCTACACATTAATGCCTTATCTCTTCATTGCTCTCCAGTTGGTCCCTACAGATTTAAAATTCATATGGAGTCGCTGCTCCATGTTTCTCAAGGCATGGCCATGGGCACCTGAGAAACCTCACTCTAGTCCCAGCTCCATACCAAACAGCTGGGTAAAAGTGGATGAGTTAGTTCTTAAGTGTGGCCTGGTTTCCATCATCCAAAATGTTAACAAGGTATATGAGTTGATCTTCAAGATCCTATTCATCTTCAGAAATTCTATTTTTAAATTTCCATGTCCTGGCTGAGGACACATACTCCCCCAAAAGACCTAGTACACACACTTATGAGAAAACCAAATTTTCTTTGCAGGAAGCAAAGGGAAGGTATCCAGCTGGAGCCTAAAATGTCTTTAAGTGACGTTGTAGCAAGTATTTGCAGCCAAATTTCAGCAACATGCTGCATATGTATGTTGAAGGGGGAAACAAAACCTTAACTGAATAATACAAAGTGTAATTTCTTCATCATATTTCAATGAATCCTGAGCCTTGGAAGTTTGTGTCAAGATCTGTCATTAGACACTTTATCACTAATATTAGCCTTCCCCACTAATTTGTATTTACCAGGGTCTGAGGCCTTGTTTCTATAATGCCCCTGTCCCTCAGGTGCCGAGGTCCTGAAGGTGAAAATCTTACCAATGCTAAAAGAACTTTTTCATGGGGTTGAATCCAAAGACCATTTGCATTAAAGCTCCATCACCCACATAGGCTCACCCCCATATACCTATCTGACACAGATATGCTGAAGATGCTATTTTATGCCCATGCCTCCAAAGGCCCTGGGCTCCTTCCATTTCTTTATCTTATGCCCCAATTTCCCATAGCATAGTAATCATTATCAAAAT